GGGGGGGGGGGGGGGGGGGGGGGGGGGGGGGGGGGGGGGGGGGGGGGGGGGGGAGGAGTCCGCGTTTGTGTTGGTGTTTTTCGTTTGCATTTTGGTTGTCCTGAGGCAAAAACGTTCAAGTTGTACTCAACAACGAAATTGAGAAATTGATTGCACGCACTGATTCAACGTTGCCAGAAAACCGGGTCGTAAGGAACAAAAAAAACAGAGTACAGAGTACAAATTAAAAAATAAGGATCAGCGCTGAACAACGAAAACAAACCTAAGAAAACATTCCCATCAACACGCCTGGTGTCGTTTCGCCGGATGAACTCGTAGACGCGATGCAGATCCGCCTCCAGCCGCTGGATTTCCTTCAGCATGTCGTTGTTGACAGCGGAGTGGCTGAAGACGCCGACCGACGCTGCCAGCTTCTTCATCAGGTCTCCCATCAGCTTGTTCTTGCAAGTCCTCGCACAACCCGCAATACCCAGGGCCCACAGGACGGCGGAATTGACGCGGTGGCAGTTGCACTCGACGACTGGAACCCCCAACGCCGTATACGCGTTCACGATGTTCTTTCCTTGATCCACCGTGAACCCGAGGAAGACGTCGTGGGGCTGGACCGACGGCCCGATCAAGTCCTTAAAGTACTCCAGCGTGAGCTGTTTATTTCAGTCGTTCGATAACGGAAGGAAGGTAACAGAGACCAAGATTAAATATTCATATTAGTTTTACGTTTTTTCTGTTTTTTTCAAAATAGTATTCGTGAGTATTCAATTCGTTGTTGTCCACCGAAAACCAGCTGGAAAAGGATAGTAGTCCGATACAAAAACAAAAGTTCAGAAAAGATCTGTTTGAATCTAAATTCTATTTCTACCGCTTCGATCCAGGGTTTGATGTCCTCGGCGGTATGGCTGCCGGGAAACGCTCTCGTCGCAAGCGCGACACGGGTAACATCATCCGTTTTACCCTTCTTGACGTACGAGACGGTGAAAGTGATGTACTCCTCGTTGGCCACAGTCGTGAGATCTAGATGGGCACCAAGGAAAGCTCCACCATACCCCATGCCCAGAAACTCCTCGCGCAACAACCGCAAGTCGTCCATGATGGCTTGCTTCACCCTGTCGTACAGGGCGTCCAACACCTTGTTGAAGGTAGTGGAGGCCATCGTGGTGTCTACGTACTGGGGTGACAAAACACCAACGAAAAGCTTGAAGCCATCGTCGTACCGCATCTGCTGCGGCCGCAGGTTGATGCAGCACCAGATCACGTAGCGGAGGTCGGCCAAGTCCCTTTGCTTCTTGTCCATCTTCCGTGACATGTACTGTAGCAGTGATGACTGAGGTGTGCCTCCTGATGCACCTGATGATGATGCACCCGGCAATTCACGCCCCGCTGTTGTAAAGGTACCAAGAAAGAAGAGAACAAAAAACAAAAAACAAAGAAAGAAAAAAAAAATTAGCCCATAAAATTTAATTCTGAAGTTTCACATTTTTACATCTAACATTTTTTATTTATATTGATTATTGACTTCGACTCTTCATTATTTTATTAGTTTTTGTTGATATTTTTCGATTTTTGTTTTTTGTTTTCGTACGAATGTATAATACATATACGAAGTACGTTGTTTTGTATTAATTCAATTATTTTTTCATTTTTTCGTTTGGGGGAGACAATACCAATTGTACGTGTTAAAATAAAGATGTGATCATATAATAATGTTAATTAAATTAGTTTTTCGTTTGTGGGAGACAATAGACAAAAATAAAAAACACAAAAACACTTCGTACATATGCATATGTCTTTTGTTTTTTTTCAGTCAATTATTTTTGGTTTGGGGGAGACAATAGGAACAACAACATATATTGTTTTAATTTTAATAAATATTTTTCAGTTGGTTATATTGTGGAAGTCATACAAAATCAAGTCAATCAGCATTTTCCGACTTTTCGGCCCAAAATCAGTTGCAAAAATAAATAAATAAATAAATAATAACAAATAACGAATACTTGAACAAATATCCAGTTGCAAATAACAACACCATCACACAAAAAAAATAAAACACACACACAAAATCACCCAATGCACTCACCAACTGCCGCTCGAATGGGTGCTTTCCTGTCCTCCGTGGTGCCTGTCTCCTCCTTCGCATCCTTGACCACCTTGGCGTGAAATTTTTCGAGGTGCTTGGCTAAGCCAGTCGTTCCCGACCCTCGTTTGCCGCCCGTGGTTGATGAACTCCACTTCATCAGATGGCCGCAGATGTTCCCCCCAGGCCCCTTCACCAAGCAAAACAACGTTCTTATCGTTGATGATCGGGGAAAACCTACTCACAAACCTCCAAACCCAGGCCGTCAACTTCCTTTTCCCTTCTTGAGGAGGCTCGGGTGTGACCTGGATGCTCTGCTTGCCTTCGCCAGGACTGATCGTGGCTACAGTCGCGGCTGGTGGTTGCAACCCCGTGTGGCTGTCAGCCACCGGTTGATCGCTCGTGTTCACCGCCGACTCATTCGCTTCCGGTGATGCGTCGCCCGGAGTTGGCGTGCATGAATCGGCAGACGCAGCCGCTTCACCACTGGGAGTAGCACTGACACTAGGGTCTGAGGCGCTAATTGCTAGACAGACCACGCGCACTCTGAGTTCTGGGCAGGTGTGGCGCAGTCGCACGTCTACGCCGCGTCTGTCTGCACATGCAGACAGAGGTTCCGCCGAAAGGCATTAGCGATATATAGAACCAACGCGAAGAAAAAAAAAAAGGGAAAGAAAAAAAAGACTGAAAGAAAAACAAAAACAGGCGGTGTGAGGATCGAACTCTAATAGTCCTTTCGGTGTACACGTTTGGAAAGCCCTAGCGGTACATAACCCCAGGCGGTATTAGCGTATGGCGGTACCGTTTAGGCGGTACTGCAACATGGCGGTACCATTTTGGCGGTACTGCAATATGGCGGTACCTTTTTGGCGGTACTGCAATATGGCGGGTTTTTTTAGGCGGTCCCGGGAACGCGAGATTACGGCGGTTTTTTTTTGGCGGTTTTCAATTTGGCGGTACTTTTTTGGCGGGAAGCGGTTTTCGTATTTTTGGCGGGACCGCCTTCGGCGGTTCCCGGTACCGCGAATTTTGGCGGTACTTCCAGCCAGTACCGGGACCGCCCAAATTCCCGCCTAAATGGCGTCGGGAATATTCCCGACGAGTACCTTGATTTTTTTTTGTTGAAAAAAATACCTGCAGTAGGCTTGACAACAGACGCACAATGTGCGTCTGTTATCACTGACCCGTTTACTACACAACAGTATTGTTTTTCTTCACATTAACTCGTGTTAGTTGCTAATCCCAAAACCTAGCAAAGACTCGGTCCGTGGTCACAAAAACGCTAGAGCCATCAGAAGATCTGAAGAACACGCACACTATGAGCAAGGAAAGGGTACGCAAGCCCGAGGAGGTACACCTACCTGCAGTCCCTGCAGCACGTTTGCGTGATCACAACTGAACTACACGCCCACACACTACAAATCGACTACAGCAGCAGTATCACCCCTCCTGTCCCGCATTTAACCAAAACGAATGTTTGTCGACTACAGCGTACTGCTGTCTGAAGTGCTGTCTGTACAATAATAACACCATGGTGCATGGTACACAAGCTCGGGGCATGGAGCTGCTGTCTGAAGTGCTGTCAGAATGAGCCCGTGGACAAACAAACAATGATGAAGAACGCCCAACCAAAGCCATCATTGCAATTGACAACCACCCGAATCTATCCAGATCATCTGTGTTAGTGTTTTGGCGGCTGCGCGTAGAATCTACACAAAATACTATGATGAGCCGTGACTGTCCGATGGTCGCGGCGCTAGGGGTATGTTGTTGTTGTTGTCTTCACATTAAACCGTATGTCAGTTGTCAAATGCCAAAATCTAGCATAAGACTCTCAGCCCGTGGTCACGAAAGTGCTAGAGCCATCTGAGGATCTAAAGAACACGCACACATATAATAACGAGAAAAAGGTATCCAAGAGGCCGAAGAGGTACACCTAAAAATCCCTGCAGCACCGTATGCGTGCCCAAAAACTGAACTGCACGTCCGTCCCACCGTTCGACTACAGTAGCATCACCCCCTCCCTGTCCCACTCTATACCAAAACGGAAGATTGCCGACTACAGCATACTGCTGTCTGAAGTGCTGTCTGTACAAAAACACCATGGTAGGCATGGAACAAGCAGCTGGCGGGGCACAAAGCTGCTGTCTGAAGTGCTGTCAGAATGTGTCTGCGGCCGTACAGTGAAAAAGAACAGCCAACCAAAGCCATCATAGCAGCAATTGACAATCACCCGAATCTCTCCCGATCGTCTGTGTT